AATAGCCTTTGAGGGATCCCTCTTTGGTATTTTTGACATCCCGAACGCAACACTGAACTCTATTTCTAGATCGGCATTATCTGAAAAAAAAATTTGCGCAACATCACATCTATAGGCCATCATGTTTATTGTCGGTTGATCAAGTCACGCGGCAATAATTCTCCTTGCATAAACTTGATATCCTGAACACACCAGAGTAGTCCATTTCGCAAATTGACGACATTTGAGGAGTTTCGTGCAACTTCGAGGCGTTTCAAGTTCGTTATGCGCGACATCGCATTGATTGATCGTACTTCTCACGCACTCACTTACATTGATTATGACACTCATATTGAGGTCAAACCTTATTAATGTTTTAAAGAATGAAAATAGTCTCAAACATTACATGACAAAATTAATGATAAATTAGATTCATTTTGTATGCTAACATATGAAAATGAAAGACTTCGGAATTAGCTTAGTCATCTATTTCTAATTCAATTTCATGTCATCAAAATGTTCATGTTATCTATTCATCTCCCACGTTAAGCCTCCAATTTAGTATGTTTGGTTCAAATTGAGCCTTACTCATGAGTTTAGGTGCTTTTAAATTGGCTTCCATATATTTAGGATCTATAATCTTCACATGACTAAATTCACTTGTATTTATGTAATCATATTTTATGAATCAATTTATTTTATAATCCATTTTCCATGACCAATTATCTTACACTTGTGATTATTTCACAATTAATTTTAATCAAAAATCATGGTCATCAAGTAAGAACCAATCCAGCCAGCCGGTTCAATAGCAGGACCGAATGAAACGGCGGGGAAAGCAAGCAAGTCGAGCGGCAAAACCACGATCAAGGGAGCAGCTGGCGGGGTCGAACTATGCATTTGAGCGCAGAAACACGTTGGAAAGTGAAAAGAAGCGACTCCTCATGTAAGATATCACTGATTCACTCACTCCTTTTTAAACTGTATAGATAGAAGAGGCTTTGAATGATAGGAAGGAGCGCCAATGTCATTTAGTCTTTTGGTCGTGGGTGGCTTCATCAACTTAAAATGATGAAAGAGAAATCAAAGAAACTGACAGAGATCTCTTCTCTATAAATTAGAGAAGAGAGGAAGGAGTAGATTGAGAGAGAAGGAAGAGTTTAGCGTCGAGCAAGGGATTGAATGGCGAGCACGAGTTCGATGGTAAGAAAATTTATAAATAAGAATTTATTTTATAGATAATAAATAAATATAATTTAATTAAGATATTAATAAATTATATTATAAAACTTTTTAAGAAGATTTTATAAAAGAGAGAAAGATGGAATGTTTGAAATAAATATTAATCTAATACATAATTACTAGTAAAATTAATTGTTTATAATTATGGATTTTTATAGAATAACATTGTAAATACAATTAAGGAAGTTTATTTTAAAATTTATATTTTTTATATAACCTAGAAAATATTAACAATAAAAAAAATATTACTATATATAGAAAGCATATTTAAATTCATATAAGAGATTAAATTTATGTTATAATAATAAATTTAATTTATATGAAAAATGAATTTATGAACTAAAGATAAATGACATAAAATATACTTAAAAGTAATTAAGTAAAGAGAGAAGAAATTTTAAATTAGAAATTAATAATAAAATAAGATAAATTGGAATTTAAAATGAGAAATTATGAAAGTTAAATAAAATACTTATTTAAATTAAGAAAATTAATTATATAGTAAATCCCAAATAAGATAATAAAGAAAATATTATTTTAAAACTCAATTTTAATTAGTGAATTAAGTTAATTAGAGTGAGTGAGCAATTTTAATTAATAAGATTTAAGATTTTAATTTGAAATTTAAAATAACAAGTTAGAGAAATTGATAGCAATTTATCAATTAAATTTTAATGCTGAGGACTTTACATAGCAATTCAATCTACATTAATCTACCAACGTCGGAGTAAGGAGCAAGAGTAAAGTGGCATGATACCTAAAATCAAGGTGAGTACTCATGTTTCCATTTTATAGTAATGATGTTGTTTTCCTTAATTTAAGTTCATTGAATTAATTAATATTTGGTAGTTAATGCTATTGTAAAATTCTAGCATTTTTTTTTTTGAATGGTCATATTGAATTGTTTAATAATTAGCATGATTATTCAACATATTCACTATAGAAAGTTATTAAATGATAAATGAATAAAATAATTATATAGAAATGCTTGTATGTGCATGTTGACTGATAGAGCAAGCCCTCTTAAGATACTGACTGAGAATACAATGTACTTGTGCACGTAAATGGAAAAGTAAAAGAAGATAAAAAAGGAGTACCTTCATTGGTACTATTTTAGACGGTGGCTCATATGAAGGCTGCATTATTTATAAGAAATGATAAAGATAAAGATATGATGATGATATATGTATAATGTTGATGGTCATGTTTGAAATGAATTTAAACATAATTATTTTATGTTTGGAACTGAGCATGCTTATTGTTTCAAAGATCTTGTGTTACTATAATTTAGATGCATCATTTACTCAATGAGTTCTTTTATGATTCAATCCTAATATGTTAAATAATTAAGTATTATTCAAAGCATAAAATAAGTAGAAGAGATGAAAATGTGTACCATAGGCGAAATGCTCCAAATAAAAAATATTTATATAATTTTATTTCAAATTGTTTTAAGGTTTTAGTGGCTCTATCAAAATTTTTATTGAGAATAGTTTTAACAAATGAAATTTAAATCAACCGCCCGACTGTCTATTCCCTCATTAATTCGAGTCTCCGAGTTGGGTCATGACAAAAGTGATATGAAAAGCCAATGAGTATCTTAGGAATGTGAATCGTAATGAAAGAGCCATAGGCATGGTTTATGAAATTATTCATGAAGAATGTAGAGATTCAATTAAATAGTATAATTAACTAATGAAAATATGGAATGAGAAGAACTACCACCTGAAATGGCTATGAACACCAATACCTTTACCCAGATCATGGCGGTTGCGACCCAAATATTTCAGGAATCAAGATAACAACATGGAGTTGGCGTGGATAAATATATGAAGTTATTCCAGGACATGTGCCCACCTCTATTCAAAGGTAATGGGGGACCAATTGAGGCAGAGAATTGCTTGCTTCGTGTAGGTAAGATATTGGATGACATGTCATGTCCTGATGAAAGTGAAGTGTCACAAACTACATTTGTTTTAGATGGAGAAGCAGAATAGTGGTGGAGAGGATAACACGAAGACAGATTAAGAGATATTCCAAATTTAATGGTCAACCAGGAAGACTTTGTGGAACTTTTCAGAAAATAGTTCGTACCTATGTCAGCAAGGAGGCAGATGCAGGAAAAATTTTAAGATTGGTTCATGGAGACAAATTTGTAATGCAATATGAAGCAGAATTTACAACCTTATCAAGATATGCATCGCAGCTAATTGCAACAACAGAGGAGAAATGTTATCGATTCCTATCTGGTCTAAAAGATGCAATCATGCAACCTTTAGTACCTCTAAGAATCGATGATTATTTAGTGTTGGTAAAAAGAGCAAGAGACGTAGAGATTAACTTACAAATCATTCTGAAGAGAAGGGACCAGCATAAAAGGAAAAGTGTTGAAGAAGACATCCAAAGCACTCAAACTGAAGGATCAAATGAAAAGAAGCCCAAGTTATGCCCTAATGGAGTTAGCAGTGCTGCTGCGAGTAAAGTCATGGATGCTTGTGTTAAGTGAGGAAGATTTCATAAGGGCAAATGTTTGATGGGTTCCAACACTTGCTACTGGTGTCGTCAGCCTGAGCACATAGCAAAATATTGTCCTACTTTGGTTCAGAGAACTTCAAAGATATGAGATCAGATGAAGCACATTCACAAAAGAGCTTCGGCAAACAGAAGATAATAGAATCAATAATTTTAGCTCCATCACAAAATCAACCAAGGTAGCATGTTCGACCACGAGTTCATGCTTTGACTCAGCAGAAGCCTAATTAATAAATAGATGTTAATAAAAATGAATGAGATATCTATAATATAGTAACTTGTTATGTTATATCATATGTTTTGCTTTATCCAGTTATCTTATTATGTTATATAAGATGCTTTATTTTACCGTTATGTATCCAATATTAAAGTTTATATTAATGAAATTTAAGATATATTTTGTTTAAATATTGAATAGTTGTGCTCAATTTAACTAAAATGTCTAAAGGCTTCGTCACATGTAAATTTAGAGTGCGAATTTCCTAAGTCATCCAAACCCCATTTATGTGCCTATACCGGCTCCCTGCTGATATACACTCAAATGTAACTAGAATGTCTAAAGGCTTCGTCATGGTTAAAGGCTTGAATGGATATAGGTCTAATTTCTTACCTGCGTCACGGATAAGAACATCGGTAAATATAACTAAGTTAAATAGTTATTGTCATCAGATCTATGATAATCATTGTACAAATCTGAATAATTAAACTTTATTTCTCCTAAGCAATGTGCATCCAGCTTTCTTTCTTTCAAGAAGCTAAGGTTACTTCACTTGGAAGCATCGAGAAAACCCTAAAAATAAATATAGCTAAGAAGTTCGAGATATTGTGAGGAACTAAAATCAGAGGTATAATTATAACCTATTTCCGTGATAATTTCAAAACATAAAGAAAAGTAACCTAGCACAAAATAAAACTACTAAATCCAACAGCATGTGTCATGCAAATTCATTGTTTCCTACTTGGCATTATTATCCTGGGAAATATTGATTTAAACCGTGTTGCCAGCATGTTGCGAGATTATGTTAGCTTGCAATTAATGACATTTTCATGTGACATATCACTTTAAACCAGCGTGTATGTTTGGAATCATATGGAACAATTTGAGTTATCATTGTAAATGGAACACCTGCTACATGCTTGCTAGTGGAACTAAGAATCTTTACTGGCATTCTTACTCGTAGTTACATTTCTACGATATCAAAATATTGAACATTACTGAGCAAATCCTGAATGTAATCAATGAGTACCTGGAAGGAATGAAGAATTTCGGTGCTTTTGTGCCCATGAAAATCTGTCAAAAGTAATGGATGCCTTAGAAATAAAGCAAATAAAACTTGGCAATGCAAATTATACAAATAGCAAGGTGGTGTGGTGGGAGGCAGTGTGGAAATGTGTTTTCTCAAAGGAGCTGTGAGAGCTTTTCTCAAAGACCGCATGGATACAGAGAGCATGGCTTTAGCTCTTAAATATTATGCCAATTTAGACCACTGAATTATGCAACAATCACTATAAGGAGTTTCTTCCAAAGTGAATGCATTAGAAAAGGAGCAAGCACATATTTCAGTCGGCACTAAGTTTCTATGCAAGCAAAAGGAAGATTATATTCATTAATGTTTAAATGAATCTGGAAAGTCTAAAAATTTAGTACTCAATAATGCAGATTAAATATTTATACATTTTAAATCTTCAGCTAGACCAATTTGGTGAAATTCAGGTGTTTATTCTCCAATTTGATTTAGAATTTCCACCAAAACATCAATCCTTTACCCCACTGTGGGGTCGGCTACATGAATCAATTTTTATCCACTGCGTCCTGTTAAGAGTCAAATTCTCATTTAAATTTAATAAAAAAAGGTCATTTCTAATATTTTTTTAGCCAAATCTTTTTAAGTGTACATATACCTTTCTTAATATAGGTCAAATCTAATAGATCTACACTCTCCTACCCAGACCATCAAAAGATCGACGCTTTATTTGTCCAAACCATCTAAGGCGACTCTCTCTAATTTGCCACTAGAGCTACTCCAACCTTTTCACGTACATACCCATTTCGCATTTTGTCTCTAATAATAAAGCCACTCTCCACCGGAGCATTATCATCTCTGTAACACTTAACTTTATGCTTCTCTTATAATTGCCAACATTCTGCACCATAAAGCATTGCAAATCTCACCACCATCTTATAGAATTTTTCATTAAGCTTGAGGGGTACTTTTTTATCAAACAACAAACCCGATGCATTCCTCCATTTCAACCATCCAATTTGAATTCTACATATCACCATCTATTTCACAATCACTCTGAACAATAGATCAAGCTATCTAAAACATGTACTCTTATTAATGACTTGATAACTCAAAGTCACAATCCCTCCACTATATTTATTATTACTAAAATTACACTCCATAGATTCAGTTTTAGATCTACTCAAACAAAAGCCTTTAAACTCTAAGGTTGACCTCCATAATTCAAGTTCACCTTCAACTCCCTCTCTAGTCTTCTCAACAAGCATAATATCATTAGCAAAAAGCATACACCAGGGTATAATCTCTTGCAAATGTCTAGTGAGAATATCCATGCCTATAACAAAAAGATATGGGCTTAAAGTTGATCCTTGAAGTAATCCAACTGAAATAGGAAAATCTATGGTCAAACCACCATGTGTTTGAACACAAGTAATGAAGTAACAGCTCCTACATACATATCTTTAATGACTTGAATATAAGCATTATTAACTCCTTTCTTTTCTAGAACTCTCTAGAGCACTCTCTTGGAACTTTATCATTTGTTTTATCTAAATCAATAAATATCATGTGCAGATCCTCTTTATTCTATGTACATTTCTCCATCCAACCTCTGAATAAATGTATAGCTTCTATAGTAGACCTACCCGATATGAATTCAAATTGATTTTGAGAAACCTTAGTATCACGTCATAACTTATGCTCAATAACTCTCTCCCATAGTTTTAAGGTATGACACATTAACTTAATTCCTCTATAATTTACACACTTGTGCATCACCTTATTCTTAAAGATAGAAATCAATAAACTTCTTCTCCACTCATCTGGCATCCTTTTAGTCTTCAAAATTGTTTTGAAAAAAATTGGAAGTCAAGAAATTCCTTCTATCTCCTAAGCATCAAATTTGATTTAGAATTTCCATCAAATTAAAAATAATGAATTCACAAATGGTGAGCTTGATCCCAAATTAAAAGCCAGAAGCAGATTAAAAAAAGGGAAACATTACAGAAAGTTCAATAACTCCTCAAGTTTTCCATAATAGAAGATTTGACAACCACAGTTCAGATAAAATTTGAAGATGTACATTTCCTTTTATTACACAAGAATTTGATGGTAAAAGAGTATATTTTGTGCATGAATATGTTATAAACAATTGTTTATTGAACTCCCATGTCAGCTTATGATGGTCATCTTTAGTTTCTCAGCAAGCATATCTTCATGATATTTCACAGGAACAAACGAAAATTGATTGAGACAACTTTGACGTATACACACGGAGGTCCATAGTTGAAAAAATAATTTCCATTCAATGTATGATTTGATGGAAATATGATAGTATTCCTCCAATCAAATACAAGTCGTTGGCAATAATATAAATATTCTAGAACTAGATATAGATGTACCAAAAAGTAAGTATGAAACTATGAAAAGACCACAAATTTTGTGCGATCTATGTTAGCATTCATTATAACTAAATCCAGTCTCTTGCTAAAAACCTCCAGCTGCAAAAGCAAATTGTGTAGCAAAAATCTGTTACTTACATGGCACCTGCAGCTGCAGGAGCAATAGCTTTAAAAATAGACTGGCCAGTCATTGAAATGCCATTAGCAGCGCCCCTCTGGTGTTGTTCCTGTAATTTTAATAAGAAGAAATATAAGTAACACCTCATGTCTGGCAAGTTAGATCACTTTTCCAAGTCATCATCAACATCGGTGATAGCCACATTAAGAAGAATAAAAACTTACCACAGCATTATTTTGCAGAATGAACAATCCAGTGATGATTGAAACCTGATTATGAGTACTCAAATAGGAGAAAAAGATTAGATGATAAAAATTTTATTGCTCTAATCAACTAGTAACAATTTGATTAAAGTTTTAAAAGTATTCAAGAAGTCTTATTAGTTCAAAGGGAAGAAAAGGAATAAAAAGATTAATCAATCAAGCATGCCAATAAATTTATGGTCCTCAATGACGCAAGACTTCTTAGGGTCTTTTATTTACTAATGCGGTCATGCAAAGCTACGATTAAGATGCACAAAAGCACATAGAAAGATCAACATTTACAATCCAATTCTTAGTTTAAGCAAAATCTAAACTCTTTTTTATGGAGAACATCATGATGGTTTACAAAAGACAAAGATCTTCCATAATGTCCCAAGCCAAAGCCCAAAGCACAAAGAGAAGCAAAGCCATAAAGCGTACAAGCAAGCAAAACAGGGAAAAAAACGATTTTAACTTGAATTTATATTTTGACTTTCCAATTTTTAATTTTTAATATTAAATATTACATTTAGAATTTCAAACTGAAAATTCATTTTGCTATAGTTTAGGAGTTCAATTTTATTTATTCCACCTCCAAGGGCTGGCCATGCAAACCCCTCCATTTGAAATTTGAAGATAGCTTGACATGTGAAGGTTGCTTCGAGTGGCTTCAACCACCTTCCCTCTCCTTATCCTCCACTCATAGTCATCTCTCTCTCTCTTAGTTTGAATTTTGAATTGCTTAGGATTATTGTGTAATCCTTAAATAATGGCTTATTATCGAATAAAAGGAATCTTAAGTTTCCACTTATTTCTAGGCTTGTTGGTCTGTCTCATATTATCTTTTGGTGAGAGAAAGGAGTTATCATTTAGTTTATTATTCTTCATCTCAACATCCCTTAAGCATCCCTTACCACATTATTATCATATCTCTTACATTCATATACACTCCTTAACACCCTTGAAAAGGCCAAGACTTGAAAAAGGATTGGATTCCAACAAGATGCTCTCGGCCACCCATTCTCATTCTAGACCTAATTGCAGATAACAACCTCCCCAAGACTCCCAACCCCATCCACCACTCCATAAACCTTAGATCATTTCTCCACACATTACCTTAACCCTCCAAAGGCATTCCATCCATCAAAACCGCCTCTAGCCTTTGGTTTTGATTCCATTTCAAATGGTTTCCCACCATACACAATAATCCACCGCCACTGCTTCACACCCATAAACATCCTTACTTTCCCCTCCTCTTTGTACACCTTCCTATATCAATTGAAGGCTTCAAACAATTTACATAAGGCTAAATAACTTTTGATGCAAAATCATAAAAACAAACAAAACATTCATTGAATGCTAACTTAATAATTGTCAAGAATTGAAATTCACAAGAAAATGAGAGCTCAAATGAAGGGGTTGTTAGCTTCAATGTATAAGGAGTGTAGAGTAAACCACATGTCGGGGTTTTAAAATTTCAAGTATTTTGTTAGAAGAAAAATAAATACAAAATAATTTATTAAGGGATTTGAAATCCCCATAAGTTTATTTTTAGTGTATTATAAATTTGCCTAAATCAGGTTAATTTGGAACATGATGCTATTATGTGTGACCTACTAACTCACTTGTTGTAATTACCACTTTCCACTCATGACACTGACCTCGAGACTCGCTCTACACAACATGAGACCTCATGACATGCTCACTTACTATGACCGCTGATCACCATCACTCAAAACCCACTACCAACCATTTCAGATCAAGTAACCTCCATCTTAGTTGACAATCCTCACAATGCTCACCGACACCATGGGACCATCCCCATGGACCTCACAACACCTTCATCCTTGCTGAAACTGCCTCGTTGTCAAGCCTCAGGTTAATTTAATTTTCATTTTGAATTTTAGATTTATTTTAATTTTAAACAAACACAAGAAAGTGATCTCCTGAATTTCACTTAAAATCAACCAAGCATATTCAAGTATTTTAAATAAACTCTACTTCTTAACACTTCATTTAAAATACTCCTGACATCTAAATGCTTGATCTCAAATAGTCCCAAACTCCACGGTGCTTACGATTCATACTATAAAAAGAAAAATCAGATTGTATCAAATGTGATCAAATCTCAATAACACGCAAGCCAATAACTAAAATAGAAAAGAGATGAGCAAAAAGAAATCACTGAAGATAAACACTGTGCTTAGGATTCATACTATAAAGGAGTAAGCTTTATTGGAAGATGTCATCGAAACTTTCACTGCACTAAAAGAACTTACATCCAACTAGCATGCATAAGTTTGAAAAAAAAAACTAAATTTTATTGAAACATTGAATTATGAATTACATGGTTCATCACATTTATAGCTCAAATAGACCCACAATTGATAATTTCTTAGAATCCCCAGACCAAAAGCTGCAAGTACAATTCCAATAATCTAGAATTCCACCAAAAATAACAATTCCTAATCTCCACGTCAACCCCCTATGACATTGATCCAATATTTAAGACTTGCAACTCAAACAATAGTAAAATGGCCGCAAGTCTTTGCCTAACAAAGCAAGAAAGCCATGTTCTTGCACAAACTAAATTAGTGTTACCAAGTTTCCATGTTTATGGTAAAAGCTAAAAAAAAAAAATCTGCAATCCCAATTACGTGACATGCATAGGCTACAACATCAACAAAGGAAACAAATGAATCGCACTTAGGCAATCGCCACAATCCAAAGAAATGTAACAACCAACTTAGCAATAACAAGTACATAATGAAACAATAGCAAGTCTCAAAAGAGAATTCAGTGTTATCAAAGGTGAGCCATGTGCTCTCCTAGGCTTTTGGACAAGGCAAGGCTCCAGTGCCTCAAGCACTACTAATTGGATGCCATTACGAAAGTGTCGCCTAGATGCCATTGCTAGGATTTAAGGTGTTCAATACTCACTTCTATGATACAAATTTTAAATAATTTTTAAAAAATGGCAACTGTAGAGAATGGGATGAAAATATAATAAGCAAAAATCATAGATTAAACTTGTGTTAAGGAAGTTACCAGCTTAAAATTTTCTTCTCTTATGGGCACTTGGTTTTAGACCAAGTATTTAGTATGATTGCATTTTGGTACACATAATGGCACAAAACTTGAAAATATGCTTTTATTATATTACTTTTAAAAATTTTATTGTGATGATTATCATATTATATTCAAAAGCATGTCATAATTAAAATAAGTAATTTTTTTAGACCCTCACTTTGCTCAAGAGAGCACCTATGCCTTTAGCATTAGATAGTCGTCGTCAAAAAGGCTCCAAACAACTTTAATAACATTGACAAAGGTTGGATAGAAAACCACCGAACAAACTACAACATGTGCATAAGGTGAAAGCAAGTACATTTTCCAAAATAGATGTTTGGGAAAAATGGGGAATCGAAAGTGCTTAATAAGGTAATATGATGAGAGTTGAATTGGACTAGCTTGTAGTTTAAGAAGCAAACCAAAACCAACCATCATAGGTATATTACAACAAGAACAAACTAGGAAAACATTAAATAAAACAATGAAATAACATCACTGCAAATGATTTGCATATGAAACGAGTATAATATTCAAATTTGTATCAATCAAGCATTTATCAGTAAGCTAAACATATAACATGAAGGGAAGAAACTTACAATAGACACATTTGTTTAGCATGAGAAACAAACCAGATCATTTTTTAAGGACATGCAGTGATAACTTTGCGTTTTATTGTGGCTGTATGGGGGTTATGTTTAGGACTTATTTACAAGTTCAGACTGAACAAAAAATAAAAGATTTTAATGCCAACAATAAATTAAAATGGAAGGAAAAATCAGAAGAATCGATGATGTTTACATTTTGGTTTAGTATATTACAAAAATAAACATTGTTGCAGGATAAGTCAAAGGCTCTAATGTGCAAGAAGCGCAACTAACTCAAAAAAAAAAAAACATTTACATGCTATAACTATCAATTTCCTTAGCCTTCTCTCCAACCCATTTAGTTTCCTGAATGCACAAAATATTTAACTTCCTATGAATCATAATATCTATTAATTCCATTAATTTTCCTGTAAGAGAACCTATATTCCAAGTTCCTATCCTAATTTTAGTTTCATGGACTAGCTTCTTTGCCCACATTCGTCCTTGATGTGGGAACCCTTGCCTATTTAACACTGCACCCGGGCGCCGGTGCAGCGGCCCTTGCACACTTGTCACTGTATTCAGGCCATACAGCGCGTCGCTTCCAGGGGACGCCCTAGCATTAACACAATTTCTTAAAGGATTCATGTCATTATTGTTCGACAAGTTTTACGCTGGCTGTCGACTACCTAGCGCAACCCTCCACTTTTCTCATCCAGGACTTGGGACCTGGCAACGGCATGGACTAGCTTATTTATATTTTATTGAAAATAAAAAAAAAATTAAAACCGGCCGGTTCTTTTGAACCCGGACCGGTTTGCCGGTTCAGTCCGGTTCATGCCGGTTCTCTGTGAAGCCGGTTATTGAACTTGACCGGATCGGACAACTGGCCGGTTCACGGTTGAACCGGCCAGCCCGGTCCGGTTTTTAAAACCATGAGTTTTCATATCATCATCACTTCTATTTCACACAGTTTTGCGTTGATATTTTTCAGTTTCTTTTATACAATAGCTAGAATTTTGCTTGTAGCATTGCAGTAGTATTCATTTTTGACCCATCGAACCTTAATAAACATGGATCATAGATACACATAAAATTAAAATTCATTGCCTGGCATGGTTAAGTACATGAATACAGTCCACTTTATTCAAAAAAGACGCATATATTGCAAATTGCAACAAATAAAAAGTAAAGAACTTTTTTTTTACATCAGACGAAAAGTTTTCTTAAATCGGATAAATATTGTGGCAATATCTCACGTGATTATAGTTGAAAAACATTTTTACTATAATTCTACTTACGCTGAGAACATTCTTCACCAAGGAAGCACAGTTCACTATGATTGTAAGTTCAAGCCCTGATAGCTTTGCTATGAAGGGATAGGCTGCAATTAACGGTAGAGCTAACAACTGCAGTTATAATCATGAAGCTTCACAGGTAAGTCAAACAATAAATTTAGGAATGAATGATTAAAATAATTTCATACCGCTGCAACACGGCATAAGTTTACATGCCCAACGAGTTTCTCCATTGGAGGATAAGCAAATAATTGGAATGCAAGAAGACTAAAACCTGAATCCGTAAACACCCATATCTATGTTAGAAAACATAAAGAAATTTATTAGGAACAAGTATATAATGCAAGTTAATGAACTAGGACATCTCTCTGCTTCGAGCATTAAAAAATGAAGTTGAATTTGACCTTGCATCTATGGAACGTCAGTTGACATTTTATTTAATCCATCGGTGAGGTTAAAAGAGGAGAGAACTTTCCTATGAATCCATATTAAGTCACAGGAAACAATTCCATTCTGTTCGCTATTCATAATTAAATGTGTTAGTCAAACCAATCAGACTCAGAATTTTTTAAGAGTATAATTGAAAGTTTGAAACATAGTTCGAATACTCTCAAATGTGATCAAAATCTATTAAAAGCAAACAAATAGCAGAATTATAGCAAAAGAAAATTTCAATCATAACTAGAAATTTTGTAAATGCATAATATGTAACTGCAAATCATAGCACTGACGAAATTATTTTTTGTTTGCAATCAAGACTAGAGAAATATTAATACGAAGCATAAATTCATCGATTCATCTTTGTCTTATTTATAGGAATCAATACTAACACCCTAGCCTACAAAACCAAAAATTAATATCATGATGTTAATGTTGGCTCAAGAAAAATGGTACGAATGCATGAATCCCACTTCGTAGTTGTAGGATTCCATTTCCCTTAAATCAGATTGCAATTAACAATATTTCCCCTGAGGGTAGTGTCAGGATTTAATTAGATCTGGGATCCTTACTTCCCATGAGCGCAAGCACTCATAGTTGATTACCCCTCTTAACACGTAAGTGAGAACTCTCAATTAAGGATGAAATTTTTTTACATAATTTAGTCTCAATTGTGGGAAAAATGGAGGTAAACCTGATCAAGATCATATGGTTTCGTCGTCCCGGGTATAGTATAGATTTTAGTCTACCAACACTAACAATCATTAATCGTAGTGTCCAGGGAATCTGATTAGCAACCATAGGTTACCTCCTCTCAGGGATCCTGAGTAAACTAAAGTGGTTAGATATGAATTTTAGTTTTAGTTTTATTTGGGTTTTGGGGTTTTCATCTATTAGAATACCCAAAAAAATTGATTTAGTTTGGGATTTATGACTTCATTTAGAAGTAACCCTGGAGTTTGGATCGGAGCAGGTCTTATGGCTTCTTTAGGAAGTAGTCCAGGTACTTAGATTTAGGTTGGGACTTATGGCTTTTGTAAAAAGTAGCCCGGGGATTTGATTTGGAATGGGGCTTACTGGTCTATTTATGAGTTGCCCAAAAATGAGTCTTACAACCTAACTCTACAGCAAAGCAGCCTGAGAGTTTTAATTGTTTGGGTAGGTCTTATGATTTCCCTTATGAAGTTGCCTAAAAAGAGGGTCTTACAACTTAATCTTTTAGACTAAGATGCACATACGTTTAAATTTGATTGTTTAGGTTTTAGGGTCATTGCAATTTATTTAGCAATTTTCCTAAAATGTGGGTCTTACGACTTAACTTAGAAGTTGTCCGATATCAGGTCTTACAACTTAATCCTATAGACTAGGATGCCCACTAACTTGTATGTTTTGTATAGAATCTTATGATAGAAATTCCACATGCTTTTAACATTAGATTAGTATCATAATTACTATATTTAAAAGCATTATTTAAAGATGAAATTCTCTATTGAGGCTTTTACCTTGAATTTTCAACAAGAGCTGTCTGTATGATTAGATTTGGTTAGGGACTTATGGCTTTCATTAGAAAATTGTCTAATTGGTGGGACTTACGACCACTACCAAAGGTAGCCCAAAAATTTTAGTTGGGTAGGTCCTATTGCTTCCTTAGAAGTTGTCTAATGATGGGTCTTACGACCTAACCCAATAAGCTAAGTGGCCCGAGTGATGGATCTTACAATCTAGCCCTAGAGACTAGGATGCCCATGTGAGGGGTCTATGGTTATATTATTACCTAAATATTTTGTCAGTGTTTGAGAGTTTGTTGTCAGTGTTTTAATTGAGGGTTAGGGGTTAGATCAATTTTACCTAAAACTTTTCCCTAATGTCAAGCTTACTGCTTTCCTTTGAAAGTTGTCGGCCGATGTTACAACCAACTTCTTATAAACAATGTTACTCAAAGATGTTGAATTTTGATTATTTGAGTGGACAATAGTTATTTGACACTAGGCCAATGTGGCTTTGATACTTGACAGCGGATGCTTTCTACCTTAGTTTTTTTAGTAGTGTTCGTTGTTTTGTGCTTGAAGTTTTTTTTATTGCAGTAGTTCGCTACTTTACTTTAGCATTGTTGTGTTGCTTTTTACACGCTTCCAATACTTTGTTCTACCTGTAGTAACTATATTTATTATTTTTCAACATTTATTTAATTTATTTATGATGCACTGATTCTTGTTTGCTTGTTTGCAGGTAAGTGGTACTTGCAGCGATTCAGGGAGCACACAAATAGTTTTATGAGCCACTATTGAGTGTTGGGAGTCTCAGTTTGTGTTGTGGGGAATATTGTATAGGAATTTATAGAGTTTTGAGTATTGGAAAATGTGTTGAGAGTTGTGGAATTGTAGTTTGAGGGGTTTGGAAGTTTATTGTTTGGAGAGTTTGAGTTTGTTGCTTGGAGAGTCTTGTTTGAGAGTTTGTTGTTTGTACATGGTTGGGTTATATATGTCAAATAGTGGAAAAAACATTTTTTCCCCTCTCCATTTTATTTATTATATTTTTTATTTTAAAAAAAAAATTAATTTTGATTAATTGATTTAATTAACCAAAAGTCTCAAATTTTTTAAATAACAGCTCTCGGATTTTAAAACTCTCAAAATTTAAAATTCTCATATTTAAAATTTTCATTTAAAATGCTCACATATTTTAAAATTTTCTGATTTCAAATGCTCTCGAATTTTTAAATTAACCAATTAATTTTTGATATATTTTTGTTGCAATTTTTGCTACCTCATTAGCTAGAGGAAGAGAAGTGATGTTTTGGAACCTCAAATGTTTCAAAGGGAAATAGCATTTGAAATGTCACAACAATTCAAAGTCTTCTACTCAATGTTAATTGTGTTAGAATTTTTTAAGGAGAGGTCTCATTTAGAGACATTCAAGACAATCTCATTAAGAGACATTTGAATCATCTCAAAAATAATCTTTGGACTGAAATGATATCCAACAAGTTCTCACTAATGTTGAATGGTATTTGTGAGAACAATGAGTAGGATAAAAATAAATGGGAGAACATTCTCACCCCTTTGTCTTATAGAAAATTTTTATAGTAGGCTCATAGTAGCAATTCAAATGAGCCTAATTCAAATGATGATTGCAAAGGTCCTTAAAAAAAGGAAACATTTAGATTAGAGGAACTGGAGGAGAATGTGTGTTTGTAGTTTATCAACTCCCATGCATTTGATGATTACATTAATCAATTATATGGATTAATTCTAATCAATTAATTTTTATTAAATAATAATTAACTAAATTAGTTAATTAATATTGAAAAATTAACTTTAACATTTTAATCAAATCAGTGTTCAAGTTGAAATGCTCTTTAGATTTTTTAGGCAATTTTGGCAACCTGTCGGCATCCCCTCCCCACCGAGGGTTGTTCTTAGAAAGGTAATATTTTTGTGATCAAAAATTTGGGTCCCTCTCCCAAATTTTTGATTGCATCAACTTCCTGCGAAATAACAAAGTCGGACAGCAACGAAGAGACGAAGGAGCGACCGTGCAATCTCTATACTCCTGCGAAGCAACGAAGACTAACAGCGACGAGGGAGATGAAGAAGCAACTCGAACAATCTCTCAGCCTCGAGTGAAGTAACAAAGCCGAACAGCAACGAAGGAGCCGAAGGAGCGGCGCGTGTAGTCTTTGCGCCTCCTGCGAACCAAAGCCGAACAACAATGACGAAAAGGGAAGATGAAAGGCGAACCCTAGACTCCTCCTGCGAAGCAATGAGTCAAACAAAAACGACGAAGTCGAAGGAGCAATTTTTTTTTATCTCTTTGTTTCCTTCCTTTTATCAAGTGAATCGTTGAATGGAAGTTATGGGAGTGAAGAACTGTGTCGTTTGGCGACCAACTGCTCGCGGTGGGGCTGGCTTGGAGGTAGGTGAGTTGCTTTGCATATATTCAATTTTTTTTCTTTTTTATTAAGTCAACAGTTAATATTGTGTACCATCTGTAAGCCATAAAATTTGATTTTGTAGTCATTAAATTTACAATAAATAGAAAACACAGAGAACTGATAATTTCTTCATATATCATTTGTGTAGAATTTCTTTTATCATTGTGACATGCCTGTGAGCTCTAAAATTTTTATTATTGGGTAACCCAACCTCTCCGCGTAGATCCAGGGAAAGTTTTACTGGGTTAAGTTCCAAGAAAATTTTTTGAAAGACCAATAGGTTAGAAATAAGACACTATTTAGAGATATAAGCTTTATTTAGCAAGAGCTTTAACATGTGCTCAGGTATCCAATAAGGCAAGCAGCTATTAATTATCCCTCCCGATGATGGAAGAGCACTTTCGATTAAGGCTAGCAAATAGATGGGCACTTAGTAACCAGTGTAAAGTAGCAGTATATTTAAATATTTAAAATTAGAAATTTAAACCCTTGTACTTAAAGCCAAATGACAAGGGGAATGATGATGAACCCAATGATCTCACAATTTCGTCATCCCGAGTAGTCATGATCCTAAGGAGGTCATCATCCCGAGTAGTCATCATCCTTATTGGTAGCCATGAGTTATTTCGTATAAGAGTACCTTATTCAAAAAAATATTTGTCTAAAGGACAAATTCAAGTCAACCTTAGCTAATCGAGAGATTTGTGTCATATCAAGTTTACCATATAATTCATGACGTAAGGGTGATAACCATTAGAGAGCATATGGGCCCTGATCGTGACATAGTAAAATTGTTGGGTCAAACCATCCAATCAGAGGGCATCGATCATAACTATTTACTATATAGAGTCGTTAAGCCAAACCACTACTTAAAGGACCGCACATAACCATTTACCTTACAG